AAAATTTGTCAATCGATTTTTTTGGTAAACAACTTCGAGACAAACTGAAGTTAGCAACTAAAGAGTGCCCTCTTCTACGATCTGTTTCTCAAGCCATCAAACAAGGCTAGAAAGTAAAGTTCAGCTTTGAAACACTACAAGAGACGCGCGGAAAATCTAAACATCATCAACTCCTCGGCGACAAAGTCATCATCCCTGCGAAACTCAGACCGACGATCTTAGCTTCACAAAAATCATTCTGAAATACGTAGAACCAAATCGCGAGTATATGCATTGGCCGAAAATGGCGGAAGACATCGAATGTCTCATTCACCAGGGTAATCCTTGCGCTGTGAAACTTCCAGTAAAGATACTGAATCCGTAGCCCACTCCAACACGCCCTATGTGGAACGCGTACATCAGACTACACTGGTCCAGTCGACGGCCAATATCTGCTCATTTTCGTAGATGCGTTTTCCAAATTCATCGATGTCACTATCACTGCTACTATATTGGCTAATCTCACTGTCGATCTTTGTCGAGAATTTTTTTACAATTACAGACCCTCAGACGTGCTTATCACAAACCATGGAACGCAGTTCATTTTAGAAACCTTCGCCACACTTTGCAGGGATATGCAAATCTCTCATTTACTTTTCCCGGTCAACACCCACAATTTATTGGCTAGGCCGAAAGGATGATGGATAACATAAAGAGAGCAATCGCTAAGGATCCATCCAATTGGAAGCAGCAGCTATATTTGATTTTCTTTACAGTTATTGTTACACCCCTTGCTTCAACTGACCTCTTTTTTGGATGCCGTATGAACTCTCCGTTTACCAAATGACTCCCGAAACCTAACACTCCGAATCCAGGTGTTTCTGTGGAACACTTAATTAAACAACAAGACAATCGAAGCAATTTTCGAAGCACGTTACTCGACTATACCATTTAACGGCGGGAGTTATTAGTGGTATTAATCGTAAGGACAGAAGAGGAACAAGGTATTATCATCAGGGCCACATCAAAAATCAAACCTACTCAATCTCGATGACGGCAAAATCATCGACCGACATATTAATCACGTCTGGAAAGGGGGCTCCCTTGCTCCTGTGCCCCCTACGTGTCCGGATGACGACTGGACACTGAATAGCCCCCAGAAGATTTGTACTGGACTCGTCTGTCAAAAGTTACTCTCAATGGTGACTTCTTTAAGGAGAAAGATGTTGGACACCTCGGTCCCTCAGCCAATCCACAGATAACATTGCCGCCATGTGACCCGGCAGTCTCTCGTTACCTCTGAACCTGAGTGGTGTTTCTCGATATGTGGTGTACTACTTTCCATTAAACGATTTCATTATACTAAACCTATGTTACATTGTATTGTGCATTCCCATCGCTTTTCCTCGCATCACGTTTCCAACAGACGTACAAGAGGAAGAGAAAAGTCGGTCATCGATTATATACTGATAAAACAATAAAAGAGAAAATTATACGAGGTAGGAAAAAATATAGTCAGATCATCACCCGGTTACGTGGATTAGGAGAGAGAGATAACAGAAAAAAAAGAAAGAAGGTTGGAAGAAAAGGAGGGAAAGGGATATGGAGGGAATGAGGAAGGTAGGAAAACATTTAGAAGGAAGTTGGGCAGAATGGAGGGGGAGAGATGAGGAACTCAAGAGAAATTGGAGAAGAATTAGGAAAACGCTAGAAAAAATAGAAAGGAAATTGGGAGGGAGAAAGGAAAAAAGGAAGAGATGGTGGAATGAGGTGTGTAGGAGAAAGAGGAAAGAGATGAGAAGAATTTTGAGAGCATGCAAAGCAGAAATAGGAGAGAAGGAGAAGTATAGGGAGAGAAAGAGAATATAGATGTAAGGAATTATGTAAAAGAAAAAAATAGGAAGAAAATGAGAAATAGATAAGAAGTAGAATAGTGGAACGAATAAAAATGGAGAGCCAAATATGGGAGGTGGTGAACATGAAGAAGAAGGACACAACACAAGGGTAAATAAAGAAATGATAGAGTGGTTAATATTTTATGGAAGAGTATTTTATGGAACTTCTAGGAGGGATGAAGAGGCGGAAGGGAAGAGAGCGGAACGGAGAAAGAGAAATAAGGAGAAGAAATGAAGAAAATAATGAAAAAAAAAAAGGAAAAGTTAAAGAATGAAAAGGCCAATGAAGGAGACGGGATACCAAATGAAATTTGGAGATATGGGGGGGAAGGAGATTGAGGAATTGGGAGTGAGAGATTTGTAATAGGATATGGAAGGGTTAGCCGGAAGAATGGAAAGTAGGGCTTATAGTAATAAGGAAGAAAGGGAGAGAGGAAGGGAGTACAGAGGAGTGACACTGACATCTTCTCTATACAAAGTGTACATGGCGATTCTGGTGGAGAGGGTAAGGAAAGAAATGGAAGAGAAGCAACTGATATAGGATAATCAGACAGGATTTAGAAAAGGAAAAGAGACGATAATCAACGTATATGCGCAAAATTATTTGATAAATAGACAGGGAGGAAAGGGGAAGGGATAGTGGTAATGTTCGTGGATCTTAGAGCAGCATTTGACACGGTGAACAAGGAAATTTTAATAGAAGCGATAAGAAAGAAAGAGTTGAGAGATGAATTAGTAAAGAGGTGGTAAGAGAAACGAAAAGCAAAATCAAAAATGGAGAAGAGATGGGAGAAGATTTCTGGACGGCAAAAGAGGTAAGACATGGGTACCCGCTGAGTCTCTTGTTGTTTAATTTTTTGGTAGCGGATCTGGAAGAAGAAATGAGAAAAGTGAAATGGAAGGGTATGAGGAGAGAGAAAAGTACGAGAGAGAAAAGTATTTATGATGACATACGCGGATGACATGGTTTTGATGGCAGAAAATAAAGGCGAAATGAAGAGTATAACGGAGAGATTGGAGGGATATAAAAAAGGATTTGAAATTGAATACTAAAATAATGGAATTGAATACTAAAATAATGGAATTTAGAAAAGGAGGTGGAAGATAAAAAAAGTTTGAATGGAGGGGGAAAAAAATTGAGGAAGTAAAGGAATTTAAGTACTTGGTACACACTTCAGACAAACGGGAGACAAGAGGCTCATAAAAGAAAGAATAGAGAAAACAGCGGCAAGAATGAGGCAAGTGAGAGAAATAAGGAAGAGGAAATTTAGGAAGGAGAAGAGGAAAGGAAATGTAGATTGTGTAGTTTCGAGATGGAATCATGGGAACATGTGTGGGAGAGAGTGAGAAGAAGATGAAAGGAAAAACTGACAGAAAGTAATTGATAGAGTATTAGGAGAGGAGGGTGAGGGGGAGAGATAGACAAGGGAATTAGGGAGAGGAGAGAGGATAGATTGAACGATGAAAGGCTGAAATCGAGAGAGAGAGAGAGGGGAGAGGGGAGGGAGGGAGGAATGAAGAGGCAAACGAGGCAATACGAATTTGTAAACGGAAGCTGAATTCATCAGCGTAGTTTAAGTAGATTAGATAGCCTTACGTATATAGGCGGGTGCGATGACGTGTGTGTGCGTGCGTGCGTGCGTGCGTGCGTGCGTGCGTGCGTGCGTGCGTGCGTGCGTGCGTGCGTGCGTGCGTGCGTGCGTGCGTGCGTGAGTGCATGCGTGCGATGTCTGGTGAATACGCCAGATGCTATAAGATCTTTGGCTATCCCAGCCAAGATTCATTATATCTTTTATTTTGGAAGCAATATGAAGCCTGGCATTATCAAGCAACAATTTCATAAGATGTTTTCCAGTATACGGGCGTGTTTATTTCAATTCTTGACTCAAGCGAATTAAATGGCGTTGAGCAGTCTGCAGTAATTGTTTTACCCGGTTCCATCAGCTCATAATAGAGCATGCCTTTGTCATCCCACCAAATGCACTTTACTGAACTGAATATTTTCGAAGATTATGTTAAGCCTTTCGCCATACTAAATGTTATTTTTAATAGCTATATGTCAACAACATTACATAATCGTAAAAGAGCGGGAAAATCAATGATTTTAAAATTAATTTCTTAACTACTAAAAAACATTTGAATTATTCATTTGTACACTTAATACTTCCTCTCCTCGATGCCACCTCACTTAGCTTTCAAAATTCAATGCGCGCAATATTAGACAAGATAAAGACAAAGATAAAGATAATCCCCAGAGAAAATCAAGAGACAGTGAAGCGGAGTATGTTTCTCTTTTCTGATTGGTTCCGCCATTTACAGCTCATGTGCATGTATGTGTATGTACATATTGTCATACAATATATCATACAATACTATACTATAATACGATACAATAGTTTCATCACGCTCCTATTATATCTCCTACTTATTTCAACACGCTTCAACATGACTTTCGGATGAGTCCACTCTTCTTTGATTCTTTCTCCAGCCATCCCGTATGCTTTCCTTTTCTACTGTCTAACATTTCCATTTACAGGGACTCTTATTTCTTACTACTCTATATATACAATCTCTTTGGTTCGTACACAGATTCAGAGAGTACGCGCGGAGAGGCATATTCGTAGATTATACGCGATTAACTTTTTAGTTACGATTATAGGAGAAATACTTTAAAAACAAAGCTCGTCAGAGATTCGATACTGGCTGTAAAAAATTCTTTTTTTTTATGTTAAAGTATAATTCAAGAATTAATTTAAGCTCATCTTTTCGAAATGTCTCGCACGTCAAGTGCATCAGCTACAAATTTTAAAAAATAATAAAAAATATGCTTTTCAGGAATTTCAACTTTATTTTTCTCAAAAACCTGACATGATAAAACATTTTCACTAATGTATTCAGATTCAGCACAACAGAAAAAAACAATAGAAAATTATTATTCTTTTTTAAAAATCATGCAAACTTATATTATGCTAATTCTACAATGAGTTTACAGTCGGAAATTATTAATCTTAATCGGTGAAGCTGGCCAACCAATGTTAGTCGTACAAGTTAGCTATTGATCAATTTCGTCGATAAGACTACCATCTATCGACATTGTAGAATCAGCATATCGATGATGTAACTCACCTCCATTCTCATGAATCTCGTAAAGAGCATATTCTGGGACGGACAGCATTCTCATGTCGGGACGAAATTTTTCTATAAGCGTTTCTATCACTGCCTGGCTAGTCGCGTCCGAGGCAACCCTGATGCATTTAGTAGCGACTTTTTGACCGCTGTCTTGGAAATAAAACCTCATCACGCCGTGAAACTCCAAGTCCTATTGAGAAAAAAGTAATACAACTCGACTGAAGGCGGAAACGATTTTGCAAAATTTAGATGCGACACTCACTTCGTTGGGCTCCGAAAGTTCAAACAGGTCCAAGCGATTGGCATTCCATTGCTGTATAACTCCCCTGAGAGCGTCCCGCTCCGCCTTTTTATTCACCAATTCCGTTGCCATCCTGAAAAACACGACGGACGACGTGTATATAATTGTAATCAATCGATACAGTTGCGAAAATTGTACAACTTGTACGAATTATTAAACAGGTTACGATTTCTTAATTGCACCGCATAATCGCAAGCTTTTCTTTTTAATTAAAGAACTAAGAATGCATAATAAGGATAAATAGAATGCACCTTTAGAAATTCTTATACAATATCGTATTATACATTATAATTGAATCAAATATATTAGATCTGTTCGTGTTATTTGCACTTTTTGCACTCAGAATCGTTACTTTCTTTCTTTTCAACGCATAAACGTACATTTATTTTTTAAGGATCAATTGGAGAAACTATGGAGATTTTTAGTTGAAGACGAATTTCTTTATAAAATTATGGCTAAAATATTGCATAAATAGCATTTTAATTGCAATATTCATTATTATATTAGGTGTACAACTTTGCTTCCGCCGTTTTCCTATAGATGGCTTCAGCGGTAAGTGGTGGTCGAAATAAATAGATCATAGACATCATACAATAAACTTGGACATCTGTCAACATAATCCCATAGAAACATTAGTCGATTTGTGTCTGCATCATAAAGTTATTCTCGATTGAAAATGTCAGTTTACGAGCCAAATTCTCGTCATTTGCGGGAGGTTTTAATTTTTTGCTTCAATATGAAGAAATCTGCGGCTGAGGCTCATCGAATGCTCTCAAATACTTATGAGGCCGCTATTAGTGAAAGAACGTGTCGTGAGTGGTTTCAACGCTTCAAGAACGGTGATTTTGACGTCCAAGGTCATGCTCTGTAGGGATCAGCTCGGCGTAGTGTATTATGAACTGTTAAAACCGACTGAAACAATCACAGGCGATCGGTATCGAACGCAATTGATGCGTTTGAGCCGAGCATTGAAAGACAAACGGCCGCAATACAACGAGAGACACGATAAAGTGATTTTGCAGCATGACAATGCTCGACCCCATGTTTCGAAAGTGGTCAAGACATACTTGGAAACGTTGAAATGAGAAGTCCTATGCCACCCGCCGTATTCTCCAGACGTTGCTCCCTCTGACTATCACTTGTTTCAATCAATGGCACACGGCCTGGCTGACCAGCACTTCCGGTCTTATGAAGAAGTAAAAAATTGGATCGATTCGTGGATAGCCTCAAAAGATGACCAGTTTTTTCGACGCGGGATTCGTACGCTACCCGAAAGATGGGAGAAAGTAGTGGTCAGCGATGGACAATACTTTGAATCATAAATGTATAACCAGTTTTTTACAATAAAGTCTCGAATTTCGGAAAAAAACGGCGGAAGCAAAGTTGTACATCTAATTAGTCACCTAAAGGCTCGACAGAGCGATTTTTTTTGGAAAGAAAACAATAAAATAAAAATATTCCAACTATATAGTGCAATTATAATTTTTATACACGTAATTATAATTTTTCAAAAACCAATTTACAAAATCTGACTCTGCATGCACTTTCACAGCATCAGAAAATATAGATAGGTCAGATAAGTCTCATAATGCAGTATTATTTCTAGGAGATAAAATATCACTAATATCAGTATAAAAACATGTATCTGCGAATAGGAACATTCCATTTTATTTATTATAAAATTTTTAAAAGCGAAATTGCAAAAATCGGGTTTTTAATTTAATCGGCTTCCAGCTTCATAGTAAAATGTAAGCTAAAACAAGTTTCATAACAAAATATTTCTTTTATATAATACTCAGGATTGGCAAACGTTATTGTTTTAAACCATATAACTTTTGTCTGAAACATTTTTCTCTAAAATTCATTGATAGTTCAAGAGATATTTTATGCATTAATTAAAATAATAATAATATACTTTGTATATAAACTTTAACATCTAAATTTTTAATTGTAATTATTCTTTAATAATAAATAATCTAAACATTGTGTTTTCAGTTTGACTTTCTTCTTTATGATATGTTTCTTTATTTTATTGATAAGTCATTTAAATTCTAACACTAAATCACTACTTAATATGGCACTTCATATTAATTTTAAAACAATAGGGAGTTTACATAACAAAAATATTTTTTTTTGTTTATTATGGAAATATGCATTATTATAAATTTACGTTTTTTTTAGGGTAACTCCGGTATACACGCCGCATCAAAAACTTAATTTATCAAGTATTATTTATTATGTTTAAAGTAAACAAATTATATCTAGTAAAAACTTTGTACTATCTACTATGAAAAAAATATTAAAAATCTGAAACATTTATTTTTCATATTAAAAAATAAACTTTTTAAAATCCTTGCATTTTTGCCATATATTCCATAGGGGATATATGGCTACATAGAAGAAGGGGAGAGGAGAGGTATGTACGATATGTACAGCTGAAAAATTTACAAATAATACATATAAATAAGAAGTATAATGACACAATAACTTAAAATGTTTATAAAGGAATAAAAATGGTATATATGAAGTAATAAATAATAATTACAATCTTCCTATATATATTACAAGTGTTATGACATAAGATATACATTTCATATAATGCGTTTATTGCATTTAGTGTACTAAATTCAATCTGCACATTTTGTATGCTTTGGGCATAAATTCCGCTTGCTAAAAATGCCATATATCCCAAACAGGTGAGATATATAAGACAACAAATTAAACAAAGAATACGAAAGCAAAGCATTATATTTTGCTACACAACATGTTTTACTATTCCACTATATGTATTACGAAATAACCACTAATGCCCATTTCTACTTACTCTTTGTCTAATCTTTAGAATTAAAAAAAGACGAAGTTGAACCGAGATTAAAGTTAATCTACGTTGGTGGAAATGGACATAAATCTTTTACTTGCCTTATATTAATTATTTTATAGATTATAATTTGTAATGGCGTACTTATTACAATAACAAATCGATTCAACTTACAATAATTTCATTAATATTAACAGTAAGAAGTTAAAATCGTAACACAATACTAATATAACATAAAGGCATGTAACAGAGTAGTTGCAGGAAAATTACGCTCACTCCTTCTATTTTTTCTGACTTCTGCGGCGTAAATCCCAACGCGTATTTGCCGAAGCTACGCTAATAAAATTTGTAGTTTTTAGCAATAGGTAGGTACTAAAAAACTAAAATAAAATTTAGTGCATGCGTACATGCTGCATGCGTGTGATATTTTAAATTTAAGAATACAATTCCAATAAAAACATGTTCTTTATTAATTATGAATTATAATTTTAAAATAATTTTAGATGTAAAATAATTTTACAAAATCCCAAAATACTTTTACATTTGACATTCAATGTTTTAGCTTATGTTTAAGATTATATTAGGTACTTTTACATAAACATGATTAATATTTTTATTATTGTTTTAATTAAAGAGCAAAAAAATACATATTTTATATAATACATATATCAAAATGATGAATCTTCACAACAAAAATAATTCCATTTCCTAATTCATCAACATGATGTAAACACTTTTAAACTACTTTTTTCTCACATTTTTAGCTTGAAACATATAAAAGGACAATTTTTTGTGTTTTAATTGTGCTTTTATATAAAAGTATAAAACACGTTTTATATGTATTTCCTTTGCTCATTTTTAAAATAAATTATTATAATTTCTTCTCTAAATAATTATGGTTTCGTTGTTGCAGTATGACATCACAGCGCGTTCGGGAGGGCTCATATCTAAACTGTTTTCAGCCTTTCAAATAATGCAATACTTTATTATTTATTTTCTTGCATAATTTACGTTAAAAAATTATTTTAAAATTGCAGTTAAAAAAAATATATATATAAATTACAAAATGTAATATTTTTCCAAATTTATGCAAACTCCCTATTGTTCCTCTCGAATATTTTCCGAAACAAAGCAAGGGAAAAAAGTAATTTAACAATAAGCTATGTTCAGTAGAAAAAGAAACTGCAACCGTTTCAAGATTTTTAATAATTGGCTTACCATTAGATTTTCGTGAATCCAAATGTATAAGCTAATGATATTAAAGAGTACATCAGTTGCATAGCTGTTTTTTCTATTGAACGCAGCTACTGTAATATAACTGATATTTTGAAATAATAATATGCACGCACACATATATGTATAAGAAGCATTCCATGCCAAATCGACCCGATTAGTTTTTGACCGATCATGATTTTTTATTCAATTAACTTTTTTATAAAAAATATTTCTATCACGTGAGTCTTAAAATATTCATTACGTATACTCATTATGATTTTTTTATAAATTTGCACAAAAAAATAAAAATGAAGTTTTTAATACATTTTATATTTATTACAATTAATATTTAGAGAAGAATTAAAACTAAAACTAAATTAAATTAACTCATTCACTAGTTAATACTTTTAAAAAGTCACATGATAGTTACTCTTAAAATGAGCCAAACCATTTCTAAAGTGTTATCAATCAATAGTGTTATCAATTAGTTCCACTGACTCCAAAAAATTACAGTATATAATTTTGAAGAAAATGGAACAATGGCATTGTAGTGAAAAATTTAATTTTAACACTAAAAAACAATCGTAAATGTGCTGACTTCGAAAAAATAAATATTTTTACTTAAAAAAATTCACAACTTTTAAATTTATAATATTTTCAAATGCAATTTTAACCCTTAATATTCTTAAGATATACTTAAAAACAAAATAGTATAGTTACAGGCGTTTAATAAAAAATATTTATTTTGAAGGTAGAAGATAATCATTTTTTAGATGTAAAAAAGATTAAATCGGATAAAAGGCTATTTATTGTAGTTTAAGTTATTATTAATGTAAAAATTATTATTATTAATAATACTGAAGACAAATATAAGTGAAAAATGTAAAATACAAAGAATATATAGAAAATGTTACCCTTCACCGCAATCTCATAAGGGACCATCTTGATTTGTACAAGTTAGTGAAAATCCTTGATATCAGTAAAAGTTGATAATATAAAATGTAAATTAAAAAAAAGGCAGGACCTTGTAAGTCGTAGGT